ATGTTAAAGGAAAGACAATTTTCTTTTATAGCGATAATCAATTTCTGAACTGGCCTTTAAGTATATGTCTAATTATACATTACACCATGTCTGTTTATATGGAGTGATAGCTTGCAAACCCTGTCTCAGGTTTATGAGACTCTTGAGCATCGAATGGTTGTGGCAGAAGCATCTCAAAGATTGAGACTTCCTCTTATATCAAAGGATGGTGAAATCCATGAGGAAGAGATTGAGAAGTTAAGTTTAGTATCTCGAAGTTCCCTTGATAGTACAAGCACCGGTGTCACAATCAGTTCAAGTTCTAACTCAACAAATTATGCGAGTGCGACTAGTGCTGGAAGCATAGTGAACAATAGTCTTTCGGTTAGCTCAAATGATAATGCAGAACCTGGAGTAGGTGGTGTTCCCAATCGCTTTCTTGGAATCACCCCTGCCTTCTTATGGCAAACACAGCTCCATCAAGTGCCTTCCATGGTATGCTATGTGGGGATGGGTGAAGGGAATCAAGTAGTCATCTATATTTCGTTTTTTCTGTTAGCTTTCATTGAATTGGATTGTTATGCAGCCCCCTGCTCTTACCAGACATTGTTTTTAACCACTTAATATTTTTGTTCTCAATATATGAAAGGCATCACTGATACAAGTTATCTGCAACTTCCTCTTGTGTTATTATAGGATATGCCCGAATATCAAATGGCTCTTTCCCGTGAGATTGATGCTCGTTTGAAGATTAAATGTGATAAGGTAGCTGATGCTTTTGTGATGGATGATATTGGTACGTCTATGACTCCCTATCAATTTTGTACAATTTTGCAAGCATGTATTATAAATGAAAGTGTGATGTTTTTTTTTTTTTTTTTTGGGGCTTTCTAGCTTTAGTAGTTATATTTACTTGATTTTATGTACCAAAATGTTTATATTTACTAGATTTACATGTTAAAATTATTGATCTGTCTTTTTTATCCTTAAAACTGTTGAAAGGTTAGATTTAATAGGCAATTCACTATACGATGCATATCTTATGGTCTTACATTCATGCAGAGTCATCATCTGGGCATCATAGCCCTAGTGCTCGGCTTCCAGAGAGGTCTGGTTGGCTCTTCCACGACATTATTTCTTTGTTGTGTTTTTGTACAACCAACACCCCCCCTCCAATTAGTTCATTTTCTCACTAAAACTTCAATACATAGGGTCAAGTTCATCATTGAGGAGATTGAAAGGGAAGAAGAAGCTTTGCGGCAAGATCTTTACTCGGCAGACAGAAAGTTTGCTGAATATTACAATGTATATGACAGGAAGTTCATTTAATGAGTTTTTTTTTTATCCATTTTGTCAAAGGTTAATTGCATGACTTCCTAATATTTTGTTCAAACTAGGTTCTTGAGCAGATACTGGGAGTATTAATTAAGCTTGTCAAAGATTTGAAGCTGCGGCATCAACATAAATATGTAATTATTGTTATTTTCTAGCATAATGGACGGTTAAATTTGCAAGATTGGTTTCAGTTATTAATTTCCGTTTTTAACTTTGTAACTTCAGCACATTTAACCTGGTTAAACTCAAATTATGTAGGACGATCTCCAGAAAACATGGCTGTGCAAAAGGTGTGAGACGATGAATGCTAAACTGAGGTCTGTTATAACTCGATGTTCATTGGATCCTTGTGCTAATTAAACAATCAAATATTCATACAAATCTTCTTTATTGTGTCAAACATCTGTTGAGCTCTCATGCTGGAGTGTGGCTATATCTGAAATGCGTCGACACTGACACTCTACAAAAGAAATAGTCTGCACTTTATAGTTCTTATTTGCATGTGTTCAAACAGCACATCCTAACTGAGCTCTTCATAGCATTGTGGAAATTCACTTTCATTTTCCCCTCCTGCATCTCTTTTTTGGAGCAGAATACTATTTTCACTGCAAATTTTGTTTTATTTCTCTAAATATGCGATGATCACGCTGTCGTAATTATGTACTTCATTTTTCAGTGTTTTAGAGCACGTTCTCCTGCTAGAGACCTACACACAGGAATCTATACCAGCCCTTCATAAAATAAGGTATTGTCCGAGTATATTCCTTTTAGTAGACCAGCGTATTATCTTCAAGGTAAATATAATTTGTAATGTTCTTTTTACAGAAAGTATCTTGTTGAAGCAACGGAGGAAGCTTCTATTTCTTATAATAAAGCAGTAAGTTTCTCTCTCTCTCTCTCTGTCTTGTCTCTCTATATATGGTAAGAAACGGGAATATATTCAAGGGAAATTGAATAAAGAGACAAACTAACCACCAAGGATAACTGAGCTCTGTTTAGAGAAAACTATAACAGGTAGCACCTCCAATCTGAGGCCAGTCGAAATAACTCCAGTAAAAATGCAACAAACGATTTTTCTCTATCTTGGAAGGCTCTGTGGTTTTTTTCTAGCCAATAAAGCCAAAAAAAAAGAAAAAAAGAAAAAAAAGAGGGAGCTCTAACCACACTTCTGTGGCACTTTAGCTTTGTTTTTCAGCCACCATGTACCATTTAGAACAACTGTATGTTCATCAATGGCGTTTCTGTGTTTTTCAATCATTAAACAACATCATAGAATCCCTGCAGTCAGATGTCAAAAACCAAAACAAAAAGTGAAATAGAAAGAAACAGACCCTTCTCAAACAGTCATCCCATGGATATCAATGTGAGATCCCACATTGGTTGGGAACAAAAACATTCCTTATAAGGATGTGGAAACCTCTCCCTAGCAGACGTGTATTAAAACCTTGAGGGGAAGCCTGAAAAGGAAAATACAAAGAGAACAAAATCTGATAGAGGTGGACTTGGGCTTTTACAAATGGTATTAGAGTCAGCTACCGAGTGGTGTGCCGACGAGGATGCTAGGCACCCAAGAGGGTGGATTGTGAGATCCCATATCGGTTAGAGAGGGAAACGAAGCATTTTTTATAAGGGTGTGGAAACCTTTCCCTAGCATATACGTTTTAAAATTTTGAGGGGAAGCCTGGAAGAGAAAGTTCAAAAAGGATAATATCTGCTAGTAGTAGGCTTTGAGACGTTAGAATCAAGTATTTTCAGGTAATTCTCATAGCACAGGGATATAATTCTCACAACCTAGGGACAATGAAAGATGCAACAAGTACTCTTATTATTCTCCTGCTTTTGCAATCTGACCCCATTCTGAGATCAACTTGCAACCATGGTTTGCTTACTTTTATGTCTATCTTCGGACTTAGCTGGTGCATTCTACGTCGTTTAACTTTACATTTCTACTAGGTCACTCGACTCCGTGAGTATCAAGGTGTAGACCCTCATTTCGACACAATTGCGAGGCAGTACCATGATATTGTAATGGTAATGTCTTGGGAAATTACTTACCATTTTCATCCTCTTTGTTGAAAATGGGTAAGAAGAGAAAACTCACAAGTAAGTTTTACACACTTTTATTTTGCAGAAACTGGAGAATATGCAATGGACAATTCACCAAGTTGAGATGGACTTGAAACGCTTGCCAGATCAGTCAAGTACATGAAATATTTACCATAGAATTTGATTCATTTGTCTGTATTGCTTCGTTTATTGTATTATGATCTGTTTGAAGTTAATATATTTTGTTTTTGCATCAGCAGCCTGTTCATAATGCATGATTTGTAAATGGGGTGATGGAGAATGGTCTGATTTTGCACCCCACTTTTGTCTTCTTAAATGATTAGTTTCAATTCATCTCAGCCACTTTTGTCTTCTTAAATGTTTTCCCTCTCCACAATTCATCCCCTGAGAAGAGATCCAGCACCCTTGTTGGACTCGTATACCATTTGCCCAAGCCTATTGCTAGCTGATATTGTTCGTTTTGACCCATTACTTATCGACGTTAATCTCACGATTTTTAAAATGCATCTATTGTTAAGGATATTTAGTAATAAATTATAGTTTACCATATATATTATATTTGATATTTTAAAATGCAGCTCACGTTAATCTCACGGTTCACTATGAATATGTTTACCAAATGCTTTTCCTCACTCCAAACTTTATTTTATTTTCGTCAATAAACTTTAGCAATTACCTGAAATTAAAAAATAAAAATCACTTGTTCATCCAATCATTATTAGTCTACATTGTTTTTTAATTGATTTAGGCTAAGTTTGGGATTAATGTAACTTACAATTTGGTTAAAGTAAATTAATGTTTTATAAATTTTAGACGTAGGCTTTTCAGTAAATGAATATTAAATTATTGCTGCTAAATTACACGTATTATTAGCAGAATATATATATATATATATATATATATATATATATATATATATTGTTTTGCATATTATTTGTTGGGCATGGTAGGTATTTTCAAAGAAATAATTTAAAAAAATATATATTTCGGATCATATTCTTTCAGATATCTAAATTTTTTCAACTAATCTTAAATTAATTATTTTTCTTAATTTACAGTTAATTTCTTTTAAAAATATTAATAGTGAGTATTATTTAAAAAAAAAGTTTAATAATAAACTAATAATAATAATTAATTTTAAGATTTATTAAAAATGATTCATGTTAAATTGGGGCCCACCCTGATCCCCGGCTTGGCCCACTTGGACCGAACCGTCCTTTTCTCCAATCGGATCCGGTAGCGTTAGCGTTGAATGAACGCGTCTATATTCACCGCACTTTTAACCATATTTTAAAAGAGACTTATTTTATTGTACACGTCAGCGAAGATCTGACCGTCCATTACTGATCTTGGTGTCCACGTCATCTCCCTACATGTTCGAGAACAATCCTGACCCCTTTCGAATGCGAATTCGTGGTGGAAACAAATGGATTCTTGCCGCTTTCCCCAAAATCTCTATAAATAATCCCCATACCGCTGGGCGTTGGTCTCATCATTCGTTGTCCGTTCTCTGTTCTTCACTACCTTCTCGTAAGTCTTTGATCCCTTCTTAATAGTTGACTCATTTCCTTTTTATTCTGATTGTTAGCTCTACATAATTTGTGTTCTTGTTTTTGCTTCTGGATTCTGTCTTCTGTGTTTGTCTTTTTGCTACTTCGATTTGTGGTTTATGCTTATTTGATTTGATGATTTGATGATCGTTGGGAGATTTCTGTTTGGATTGGATTTTAGTTTGTATCGGCCGGATTCTCGTCTTGCTTGGTAAGATTCTGTTGTTCGGTTCGTTTATTAAAGTCATGGATGATCTAGGGTTTTTCTTTCTGTGTTCGTTGCTTTGTTGTTTGAGCTTTAGGGTTTATGTGTATTTGGTTAGATGATCGTCAGGAGATTCATAGTTATGGATTCTTGTCGTGCTGTTCTCTTAATGTTTAGATTGCTTTTTAGTTTGTATCGGCCGGATTCTCGTCTTGCTTTGTAAGATTCTGTTGTTCGGTTCATTTATTGAAGTCATGGATGATCTAGGGTTTTTCTTTCTGGATTCGTTGTTTTGTTGTTTGAGCTTTAGGTTTTATGAGTATATGGTTAGGTGATCGTCAGAAGATTCATCGTTGTTCTCTTCATCTGTTCAAGTGTTTTCTTATACGAAAAACCGTTTAATCCGGCCATGGATGAACATGGGATTTGTTTCTTGTTCGTTGGTATCGATTGTATCTGATCCGCTTTGGGGTTTCTGTTGATTGGAAGCCATTGATTGTGGGAGTTGGCATTTAAAGATAAGCCAAGGCTTACTTATAATCCATATTGATTTTGATATCTATGATGTGTTCTAGATTGTGGGTGTTCGAGTTTTGATCGAAACAAGGTTGATGGTTGAAATAGACGTCCAAATCCCATCCGCTTACGATCCATTCGCAGACGCCAAGGATTCCGATGCCCCGGGAGGCAAAGAGTATGTTCATATCCGCGTGCAGCAGAGAAATGGCAAGAAGTGCTTGACAACAGTCCAGGGTCTGAAGAAGGATTTCAGCTACGAGAAGATCCTCAAAGACGTGAAGAAGGAGTTCTGTTGTAATGGTAACGTCGTCCAAGACAAAGAACTGGGGAAGATAATTCAGCTTCAAGGCGATCAGCGCAAGAACGTGTCTCAGTTCCTGGTTCAGGCTGGGATTGTGAAGAAGGATCAGATCAAGATCCATGGATTTTAAGCAACTTGTTTTATAGTTCATCGAATTGAATCTGTTTCTGTGTTCTATTATTTTGAATGGATCTTGTGATGGCGGTCTGTGATGACAACTTGTTAGCAATAAAATGTTTGATTCTGGGCAACTTTTGTGGTCTTTCATGTTCTTAGCAGGATGTTTCAAGCTTTAATCTCTCTTGAGATTGTTTTGATTCATGTTCTTGCGGAAGTTTCTAACCTTTAGCTTCAACTTGGTATCAATTTCATCAAGCTAATCTCCATGAGCATAACATTAATTAAAAATAAATAAATACAATTTTTAACCATCTATTTTATCTATGTTTTAACTTCTTGCCTGAATCATTAGCGGTTAAGTTTATCACGTTAGATTAACATGACTCTACCATTGTTTGATATTGTCCACTTTTAGGTGTAGGGTATGAATCCACAATGGTTTTTGGGAAGGTTTAGGTTTGGGCTTAGCAAAAGCCTCACACTAATGGAGAGAGGATTCTTCGATTATAAATCAAAAGAAACGTCTTAAAGAATTAAATAACTAAAATTTTTAACCAATAAACACTATTTCTTTGTTTCATTATCTATTTTTCTACCTATATTTTTAAAATCAAACCCTTTTTAAAATTAAAACAAATAGTTTTTAAAAAAATATTTTTTTATTTGTGATTTTAGGTAAAAATTCAAATATTTTATTATTGGAAAAAAAAAAATAAAGTTTTTTTATTTTTTATTTTTTAAAATTTGGCTTGAATTTTATAAAATAAATGACTTGTTGTGTATAATCCAATAAAACTTATTCTTGCAAAAACACCCTCATAAACTCATAATTAAAAGAATTTCGAGATAAAGTAGTTATTTATTTATTAGCAAAATAAATACGGGCATCAAAATTTAAATTTTCGATCCAAAATAACATTATGGAATATTTTTTTCATTTAATTCGTAAAGAAAATGGAACATTGACTTTGTTGTATATTGAATCATCCTATTCTAGCACTCGTTAACGACTCTCAAGGATAATTCTATCTACCGAACATTAGGTTCGATCTTACTTAATACGTGTAACTAAAACATTAAACTCATACCAAATCCTATATATGTGTGTCAAAATACACTAATTAAAATTAATAAGAGTATCATAACCTAAAATACAATTTTATAAATTAACCTAAAGTTTTAATCTTTAAATGCTCGATTACTTATCAACCTAAACATAAACTCAATTCATTAAGATATATATTAACGATTAAAATATCAGAGGTTTGAATTATAGTCGGGATCCCGAAAAGATCATTTTTTCTCATTAAATTCACCAATTTTATCTACTTTCTCGAGATTTCATTAATGTCTTTGCCTATTCTCTAAGTCTTTGTTAGGTTATGCTTTAAAGACGTGAGGTCGATGGATGAAAAGTCCTTCTCGTCTCTGTTTCTACTACCTATTTTAATCTTCGTCTTTGCAAAATTGCATATATTGAGTCAAGAATTTCTCGGATTTTGCTTTACCATGTTGACGATGTGTGGTGGTTGGTTGAGTTCAAGGAGGAGGTTTTCGATATGACTCTTCGCTTCTTTGTTAATTCGTTCAAGACGATCCTTTTCGCTTTGTATCTTTTCCTTCTTGCTTTAGGTATGTATACGATCTTCTTTTGAAAAACTATTCAAGTGGCTTGACCATTACGAATCACGGGTTTCCACAGTAGTATGATATTGTCCACTTTGAGCATTCATTATTCATGGGACTCCCTCCCAGCAATCCTCAACAGTAAATACGCATTTTACTTTTGACATTTACAGTAGGTGCAATGGTCGGGATGGTGGTCGGAGCTTTCAAAGGCCATGGCATTGGCACTGGCATCAACACTATTGTCGGCGCCACCATAGCACTTCAACTATTGAACTACACAACGTTGGGATATAGATATTCTTTCCCAAATGTACGGTTTTCTTTTTCTTCTTCTTCTTCTTTTAGTAAAACAAATACTCGTGCTTTACTTTTGGATAAAATTTTCAGGCGAGCGACTTATCGGAGCATATGCACCGAGAGATATCGGAGTTTCGTCGACGCCGCTGCCGGAGCAAGTGGTGAGAAAGTTGCTTAGAGGTATATTTATGGTCATAATTTATATAAAATAAAAATATTTAAATTATATTTATTTATTTATTGAGATTTTATTTTATTTTATAATATTTTCAGAAATTTGAAGATGGAGAATTTGGGAGGAGACTTCCAAATTGTGATCATTTCTTCCACGTGGATTGCATAGATCAATGGCTACGATTGCATGGATCTTGCCCAAATTGTAGAAAAAATTGTATTTAAATAATACAAAATTAATTTTATTTTTGTTTATAGAAAATAAGATATATAAAAATTATTATAAATAGTATTTTAAATATTTAATTACCCCTTGGATTTATAGGTTTTGTGTAATACGTCATAAATTTTTAATTTTGATTTTAATATATCTCAATCTCAAATTTTTTTAATTTTATATTTAATAAGTTTTTAATATATTAATATTTTTTTCAAAAAATTAATGGGTTTATTAGATATAAAATTAAAAATTATCACCCTAAATATATAATATTAAAAATTTATAATTTAATTCATTTTAAAATTAAAACAAACCAATCATACAAAAGAGTGGAATAATTAGAAGAATCCACTGGGTCGGGTCGGGTTAACCCTGAGCCGACAACCAAACAGCCCAACTCCTTTGGTCCAGCCCATTAGTTACCTGTAGCCCAACCTAGAAGCCATTCCAACTCATCCATGTTTCACTTCAGCTCGGCCCATATCAAGCCCAACAAAGTTTATTAGTATTTTTAAAACATGTAAAATTATTATTATTATTTTTTAGTAAAATTTAAGAATATTTTTATTAATTTAGGGTTCATAATTTAATCCACAAATTAAACTAATAAAGGTTCCCAAAGTGGATTGGAATCAACGGATGAAATCAAGAAGTAAAGAAAAAAAATCGAAACCTTTTGGAACACTTCCAAGTTCACCTCGAATCTCGTTTTCTGTCGCAAGAAAAAAGCTCGTCATCCTGCCAATGGTGGGGACAATTTCGATTCGCCTCGAGCACCTTCATGTATAATTTAATTAGCCGCATCCAAGAAAATCTGGCGTTAACGAGCATTGGCAACCGGAAATTTGAAACGGCTTATTGATTGATTTTTTCTTCGATCGATTCATAAGGAAAAGGAAAGCGTACCTGATTCCTTTCTTTCATCCATCTGTTATCTTCTATTTTGGTCGTCTTCGACTTTTTTGCTGGTAAATCTCTTCTCCTTCTACTGTTCGCAGAATTGGATCTAGAAATTTCTCGGGTTTGAGCTATTGTGTTCGTGTTTAGGTCGAATTTGATCTGGTATTTGCAATTTGTAATTGATTAGTTTTGTAGTTTAAGAAGAGGGTTTTTTCAAACCACATGTTTGTGTGAGTTTATGTTCATAGCTAGAAGGCTAGAAGCTTTGTTTTCTGAAAGGTTTTGCATAATTTGGCTTTGTTAATCGCCTTCTGTTTATGTTTTTCTGTTTCTATCTGGGCTTTTGAATGCTATGCTTGTGCATTGAGATGTTCTTGTGTATTCTTGTTCTTGGTTATGTTCTGCTAGTGATTCCATTGCTTATTTGTGTATGGAATGTGAAGTTTATTGAAGCACCACCCCTTGATTGAATTGATTTCAGGTAATAGTTACTCATACTATGGAAGGTACAATTCTTAGAAGGGTTATTCCATCAGACAACAGTTGCCTCTTCAATGCTGTTGGGTAAACTTCAAATTACTTGACTATTCATTCCGGATAATGATTAAGAGATAGGAATCTGTATGGTCTATAAAATGGGTATATTTAAGTTGTGATATGTCAATATGTGAGATCCCACATTGGTTGGAGAGGAGAACAAAACATTCCTTATAAGGGTGTGGAAACCTCCCCCTACTGGACGCGTTTTAAAACCTTGAGAAAAAGCCCAAAGAGGACAATATCTGTTAGCAGTGAGCTTGAGATGTTACAAATGGTATCAGAGTCAGAGCCAGACACCGAGTGGTATGCCAGTGAGGACGTTGGACCCCTAGGGGGGTGGATTGTGAGGTCCCACATCTATTGGAGAGGGTAATGAAACATTCCTTATAAAGGTGTGGAAACCTTTCCCTAGTAAACGCGTTTTAAAACCTTGAGAGAAAGCCCAAAAGAGAAAGCTCAAAGAGGACAATATTTGCTAGCGATGGGTTTGAGCTGTTAAAAATGGAATTAGAGCTTGACACCGAGCGGTGTGCCAGCAAGAACGTTGGGCCTCCAAGGGAGGTGCATTATGAGATCCTACGTCGATTGGAGAAGGGAACGAAACATTTTTTATAAGGGTGTGGAAACCTTTTCCTAGTACATGCGTTTTAAAACCTTGAGAGAAATTCCAAAAGAAAAAGCACGAAAAGAACAATATTTGCTAGCAGTGGGCTATTACACAATACGTGAGGGAGCAGATTAAGAGTAAAGGTTTCAAGACTAAAAACTGAAAAATTATAAACTTCTTTACATATGATTTTTAATTGTTTTCAAGACTAACTTTATCCCCGCTGTTTTTTGTGGCTCCACCAAGCAAATAAAGAGAGTTTGAAGATAATAAGCTATAGGCTTCTTGACATATAATTTTAAAGAAAAGTATGGGTCCCCCTCTTGTTTGTGGCTGTACCACTGCCCATTTCGAGTGTAAGTTCATGTACCAAGTTCAGCTCTTTTTGAAACCCCGGAAATGTAATGAGCATACAAATACATTTGAAAATATAATGTTTAATGGGTCTTTTCCATTTTGATATTTTGGTGTTGTAGAAAATTCATTGTCAGTTGTACCCATGTCTCATGTTCATATTTGTGCTACTTCTGTTGTGCTCGATCTTTATCTTTTTTGTGTAATATATGTCAGTTATGTTATGGACCATGACAAAGACAAGGCTACCGAGCTAAGACAGGTTCTGATTCATCATATTTTATCATGTTCGAAACCAGATTTTACTGCTTTTCAATGAATCACTATTTCGGAGTTATTTTCAAATTCTAAATTCTTCGATGGAAGATAGATCCAACCCGAACAACTTGCATTTAATTCCCTTGTAGTGTAGATATACTAAAAAATAAGTAGCAGAATTCTGTATTGCATGCTTGACCAACTTTTCATTGATGAAGAAGATGCATATCTGATGTGTAACAATGCTAGACTTCAAAGTATCTATGAGATCCCATATCAGTTAGGGAGGAGAACAAAACATTCTTTATAAGGGTGTGGAAATCTCTCCTTAGCATACGCGTTTTAAAAACCTTGAGGGGAAGCCCATAAGGAAAAGCCCAAAAAAGACAATATCTGCTAGCGGTGAACATAGGCCGTTACAGCATCGCTCTCCACCACACATCACTCCCAACATGCACACATAGAAACAAAAAGAACAAGGAAAAGGCATGCTTAATCTGTAGAATCATAGAGCTGAAAGAAATCTGGGATAGAACCCACACAGAACCAAAATGATATTGAAATATTAATGTAAAAGATGAAGAATTACAAGATAAACCAAGTAATTGAGGTATTAGCTGAAATAAATCTGGGATACAACACACAGAAAAAGGCATGCTTAGCTACTTTTTGTACAAAATCGTATTTGAATTCTTTACTCTGAACATCTTGCACAATTGATTCTCTTTTAAGGTCATAGCTGCAACAGTAGCCAGTGATCCAACAAGGTATTCTGAAGCATTTCTTGGAAAGCCAAATGAGGAGTACTGTGCTTGGATTCTTGATTCAGAGAAGTGGGGAGGTTTGTATCTATATTATCATTACTCAATGGAAGAGTTCTTATGAGATTTTCTTGTTGTAGATCTTCAAAATATGTAGTTATCCTGCTGTTTCTTGTTTTCTAGCATTAGATTATGGGTTTCTGAATCGAAATCTATATTACTCAAGAGGAAGTACATTTGGCATTTGAACGTGCCAGTGCATCTGATTAGGCATCGGTCATATGCCATGTTAAGTACTCGATTTTCTTCTTTTCAAGTTTGTTTTCTCTGATGCAGGCGCCATTGAGCTTTCGATACTATCCGAATATTATGGACGTGAAATTGCAGCATATGACATCCAGACGACACGATGTGATTTGTATGGTCAGGTTAGGATTTTCTATTCCGATGACTCCATTGGCTCAGTAGGAATAATCTTTTCGACTTCCTGATGCTGATTATCTGTCATCTTTGACAGGAAAAGAAGTATTCAGAAAGGGTTCTGCTGATATATGACGGACTCCACTATGATGCTTTAGTTGTATGATTTTCTGATTTCCTTAAATTTGCATATTCCAACGTTTTTGGCGTATGTCTTAAATTTACCGTTATTTCGGGGTTGGGGGACAGAGAAAGAGTTGTTTACAATGCACGTTATCAGGTTTTTCGGTTCAAACATGTGAGAAATATGCCTAGTATTTCATTATAGGCCAGATTACACAATTTCAATTATACTTGGTCAAGCTGTCACCGTGCCATTTCTTAATCCGAGAACGTTTTGCAGATTTGCATTTTGTTTCCCGCTTTGAGATATTTGATTACATAAAATGCAGCAAGATGACCTTTATAATATGTACTTTTGACACAAACAGAAACTGTAAAAACTCGTGGTTGCCCCATGATTTCGTGGTCTTGATTTCGCTCTGCCTGTTATCTTTCTACTGTCTTTGGTTGTGTCTGATATAGGCTTCCTGCATATTTGTCTCTGCTAGATGTCGCCATTTGAGGGAGCTCCAGAAGAATTTGATCAGACCATATTTTCTGTGAATAGAGACAGGAGCATTGGGCCCATTGAGGAGCAAGCTCTTCATTTTGTAAAAGAGCAGCAAAGGTAGGATCTTCTTCTGGTATCCTCTAAGCTCGACTCACTTCTGGAACGTGGTTTGTTTTAGTTTACGTTTCTTCTTTGAATGATAAGTTGAGCTGCATGACTTCCCCCAAAAGTTGTCATTGGTACTATCATTCTCTGTTTGAATCAGTACAAATAACAATTCACAAGAGGAAAAGGTTGTAGGATAGGAAGAAATTCATTTTGAATATCTGTTTGCTTCTCACTTTGCAATGTATGGATATTTTCTTCTATCCGTTTTAGGAAACGGAGCTTCACCGACACTGCCAACTTCACTCTGCGCTGTGGGGTTTGCCAAATTGGAGTCATCGGCCAAACGGTATTCGTCGTCCAAATTTGATAGCTTCCTAAATTACTTCTTCTAACTCTTGTAACTCATTTGAAGAATCCAATGTCCAGGAGGCTGTAGAACACGCAAAAGCAACGGGTCATGTCAACTTTCAGGAGTATAGATGACATGAGGAATGTTGGGAAAAATAATTGGCTGATCGGTTTGAGCTTTATCGACTCCTCCAATTGTTGAAGTACTGTGGCGTTCTGATTGTTGTAAGCTTATAGTACCTTTCGAAATCTTGATTGTCCAGGAAAGTGTCACATTTACTGACCAGAATGTTGTGTATTAGATTCAATAATCACAGAACGAAATCCGGCTGTTTTCCCAAGTGACTGAGCTTTTCTAATAGCTGTGATGTTTCCTGAGTTATATGTAATATTCCTAAAACATATTGAGTAGTGTTCAGCAGATCTATGGTTTATACCAGTAAAGGGAACTCGAACTCGAACAGATGTTTGGAAGGCTATTAATCGATTGATAAGTGAAATATTTGATACATCTGGAGAAAATAGAGGCATGAACAAATCTCAGGAAGCAATCACTCGCTGCCTCTATATCTTCTGTTTAAGGGCATGCCTTAGCTGCAGTTTCTGACTTTCTTTCACATTAATCTGGACTTTCCTCTGTCGAGCTATTCGAGCGTCACTTAAGTCGAAGGAACTCCACCGACCAATAAAATCTGGACTAGACCCGCCATTGCCTGATTCTGCTTCTGGTGATGATGCCATCCCATTTGACTCCTTCACTGGTATCGTCTTGATGTCCCCCCGACCATTATTATGTCCGGATTTCCATAGCCTCTTTGTTAAGTTTGATACTTTCTTTGATTTCTTTACAAGTTCTGAATAGACTTCACTGATGTTGATTGTTGTTTCCCAGTCTGTTCCACTCCCTGAGCCTGAGATAATACTACTCTTTTTGCTATTCTTATTAGCAGCAGGAGGTATTGTGCATCCTTCCAGTGAATAACTCGAGTCCTGATCCTCAACCTGGCTCACTGTTTCCCATCCACTCTCGTCGTCTATGTCGCCATTCTGATCAATACATGCATGTGAGGCCATCAGGATGCCATCCACCCGTTTAGCTGCATCCACATTTAAGTCAGGGCTCGTTGTTCCAGCTTTCGGGATCTCGGTAGCTGGACTGTAAGAACCATATGGGTTAACCTCCCTTTCTTGGTTTTCATCAAAGTTAACTCCTTCAAGGATGGAGAAAATATCATCTGGCTTAGAAGGTTGGTAAGATAACTGCTTTATGTCTTGAATGTTCACTGCAGAAGCAGCCTGTCCTAGTAATATAGCTTCTCTCATCTCCTTAATATCTGAGATTGCTCCCCTTGATCTTAGGAAGTTTTCTAGATCTGAAACAAGCCTATTCATTTGAGAGTACTTCTCTTCTACAGCCACCTTGGCGTCGACCAGCTTCATTTGAACGCGCTCTTCGCGCCATACTTCTGCCAACTGCAACATCTTTCTCTCTTCTTCTGCTTCCTCTCTAAGTTTGGCAGATTCTCTCTTTGACACCTCGATTTCTGCCTTATCGTTTCCAATCTCTTTAGCAAGCTCTTCACACACTTGTTCAATCAACGCCCTTTCCTTTCTTTCTTCTTCATAGTCCTGCATCAACTGCTTCACCAAAGACTTGGCATCAGCTAGCTCATGAACCAGCTTTGAATTGAAATGTTCTGCTCCTCTTCGGTTTTTTCTTTCATAGTTCAACTCAGTTCTGATACTTTCCATGAATACACGGATTTTATCATGTTCCCTCATACGCCATGCAGTCTTCTCCTTATCAACCTTTCTCAAGAAGCTCTCGAGCTTCTTTTTCGATACATGGCGTTCAGTTTCGAGTTCCAAAATGTGCACCCGTGCCTGCTTTAGTTCAGCTTGAAGTGCACATATAACCGAAACCAGGCTCATTTGTTGGTCAAGAAGCTCTGTTTGATTGTAAATATGGCCCCTTTCATCTGAAATTTTCGAGCGGATAGGGTCCCACTTAGTTGCCCCCTCCATAACTGAGTTGGAGAATTGAAAGAACGGCTCAAGCTAATGGCAGGGATGGCAGAAGAAAACACTTCAAATTTATAGCAATAAATAAGAAATTGAAAGAGAGGAACATGAAAGTGATGTGACATTACCTTGCACAGAACGCCATTTCTCATACCAGAAGTTGATGGTTGGCTCTGTAACAGATCCCTTGTTTCATTACTTAATATGTTGTTGTGATGGCGGAGAATTGGAAGTCGAACATGGCCAGCAACTGGCTGCAAAGTGAACAA